TGGTAGGCGAGTCGGGCCGGCTCGCGAGCTAACAAACCAAGTCAAGATGAGCTCGAGCTTGTGATTCGATAAGCTCGGCTCATGAGCTTGTTAATGTGTCGAGCTCAAGCCTGCTCACGAGTCGGCTCGACTTATTTACACCCTCGAGTACTAGTAATATTAGGCTTTATTGTAAGCATATAACTCTTGGAAAAACTAATGAATGTTCAGTACCATAGTCAATATTACTATTTATTGTCAAATTAGTTTTTGAAGCTCATCGAAAATACATCAAAATGACTGGCGGTAGACTAGTTGAGTAGGCTTGTGAGCAAACAAGCCGAGCCAGAACGAGCTCGAGCTCGTGGTTCAATAAGCTCGGCTCGTGAACTCGTTAATGAGATGAGCTCGAACCGGCTCACAAGCCGGCTTGGCTTATTTACGCGCTTGAGTACCAGTAGTTTTAGGCTTTTTTGTAAGCATATAACTCGTGAAAAACTATTGAATCTTTAGTGCCATAGCCCATATTATTATTTGTTGTCAAATTTACTTTTTAGCGACATTTTTCCTCTTTTATGCTACCTTCTGTGTTTGAATGTTTGTTAAATATACTTTATTCTATATATTCTTCTTAATGTTACACTCTTTTAAGTAACCATTTGTTAATAATTTTTGCTTTTTCTTATTTTACTTGGAACCTTTTTTTGTCTTACTATAACACTTCACTAAATAGATGCATTCTGTTACCCTATTTTCTTCTCTTAAAATATCTTTCTTTTGGTATTCTACCTGGTATAGGTATTCAACTGGTGCTGGTGTATCAGGGGGAAGTCAGTTGATACATGATTTCTATTCGAAGGAAGTGTCAAACCCTGTTCATTTAACTGTAGATACAGGATTTACAAATGGGGATGCCTCCATTAAAGCTTATGTTTCTTTCAATCTTTTTCTTGGAGATCGACAATTGGCTGCACAATTTCAGGAAATTCCTCTGGATCTGCGAATGATTGAAGCAGAACGGGTTGGATGTACGAGTTTTCTCTACTACTACTGCTACTATTTAAGGATTTCACTGTATGATTTCTTTTGTCATTATTGTGAAATTTATGTTCATATTTGAAATTTGGAAGATTTACATATATACCACTCGGTTCCTACATATTTACATATTTAACACCCAAACTGCAGTTTTAACATATATGCCGCCTTGCCTATGTATGAAAAGATGTGTATTTCACTTTTTTAAAGTTAAAATGATGGTATATTTTATGTGATATGAATAATACGATAGATTTTGGTGGTATAAATGTAAAATTAAAGTTTAGATGTTAGATATGTAGATACATATGAATCGGGTGGTTTGTAAGTAAATGTTCCTTCAAATCTTGATACACGCATGGCCCAGCATTATACCAGCATATTTTAGCTTCTTTGTTTAGAATGAAAAATCTTAGAAGCCACGATATTTCAAGGTTCTGAATCTTCATTTTTGTATTATATTCCACCATTTGTCTGCCTTATCCCCATTTCTTCATCTATATTGTGCTCTGAATTCATTTCTATTTGAAGTTCTATTGGAATATAGGATTGACTTGGGCCTCTTGAGTTTATAATTACTACTTTTTTGCATTCTGCAATTTATTTGCTCGAGGCTTCATATTTTGTGCTGTGTTGATTGCTTGTCTCACTCTCTTGTAATTCACTCTCAGTTGATATTTTAAAGATGACAACACTAGAAAAGCTTCCAAATGATTTGGAGGGAATGGAAGCTACTATGAAGAGACTACTTGCTCTTATTGATGATGTATACAAATATGTAGATGGTGTCATCGTAAGTAGAAAATGTACTATATTTTTTGCCTTAGTTTCTTTTTTATGTGCAAATATTTATATATATTATTTCTCTACAGGAAAGGCGTTTGATTCCGGATAATAATATTGGGAGATTTATTTCCGATACACTGTCTTCGCTTCCAAAAATTTCTCCTACAGCATTTGACAAAGTCTTCAATGATAGAATCCAGGTATTTGGTTTGTGCTTGTTTGGGATCAGTTTTTTTTTTTTTTTTTTACTTTTATTTTAAAAACATATTTAGTGTATTTTCTTACATGCTTTTATTTTTGGGATAATTATATACATAGCACCCAAAACGTTGCTCTTTACAAAATTTAGCACCAAGTTATATGTTTGAACTACTGAACCGATGTACTGAGTCATATGTTTGAACTATTGAACCGATGTGCTTATGCATGCCACAATGAAACCATTGAGAATTTGATACAAATGAGAAATATGGGCTGGGCTTTATCACGAATTCTTATATTTGAGTGAGAATTTGAATATGGATGAAAGAGGGTGCTAGATTTGTAAATAGCAATGTTTTGGGTGCCATGTATGTAAACAACCCTTTATATTTTGTTTTTTAAAAAAATTAGCCTTTTTTTAAAAAAAAAATACTCGTAGCATCTAAAGTTGTTTTTGAATGCTTTTAATTACAACTGAATAGGTTATAATATATCAAACATATTTTATTTCAATTTAAAATATAAGTAAAATAAAATTAAATTAAAAATAAAAAAACTAAAACTAAAACTGATCCCAAACATCCGAAACCTGGTTGTTTTTCTTTTAAAGCTCATGTTCCTCTTCCATATTTTCAGGATAATTATGCTTTAGTTTACTTTGCAAGCCTGGCAAAAACACAGCTTAGCATTGCAGAGAAGTTGAACACAGCTGCCCAGGTTCTTTGATTTGTTGCCTGTAGAATTTTTTATTTGCGTTTGAAATTGCTTTATAATCTGCTTTAGTACTCACATAAACTGAATTATTTTTAAATTAGCTAGTTTTTGTTAGGGTTCTGAAGGGTTTCTTCCATGGCTTGTATTTGTTTTGACATGAATGAAGAAGTAATCATTCTGAGTTTCTGGTTTATTCTTATGTCTTTATGTGCATTATCATAATCTGTAAATAAATTCTAAATATTATATATCATAAGTATTTAAATTCAATGGAAATTGTGTTATGATATTCTGATATAAATAATATAAGGGTGAGTTGAAAAATTATTAAATTTATTTGGTGATTAATGCTATATTTGGAGTTTATGCTGTGTCAATCTCATAGTAAATTTGATCCTTTTTGTGTATCTTTTATTCGGTTATCCTGATTTAACTTATTAAAAAAAGGGGAGCATTTCCATACTTATGTCTTTACATATGCATTACTAAACTTTCGTATTTACACAGCGTGCCACCCAAACTTATTGCGCTATTATCAGAATTATCATTATTACTAATTTTTTAAAAGTAAAATGCATCTTTTTGTGCATAAATTTATGACATTAAAATATTATAAATGTAAATTCTAAACATTAACTAATAGGTATGTAAATTTATAAGAATTGCTGTGTTATCTATGCGAAAATAAAAAAATTATTAGTTCGGGATTTCAAATGCATCCATAGTTCAATAGTGAGGCGTTACGTGTCAAGTGGGTCTCATAATTTTTAATATCGATCAATTTCCTGAGAAGAAATTTGAGGTGAGCATATAAATGGACATGTGAGGCCTCACAGGAGTCTTGAGCGTAATATTTGCTTTGCCAGAAGAGCAGTATGATTTGAGAATCTCTATAAATCTAACTATTACTGTTTTTAGGGCATATGTGCATGCTATTCATCCAATTGTCAATTCAACGTCCTGAGTATTTTCCCAGTTATCAATTTTTTGGCATTGTAATATGTAAGCATGCGCAAGACAAGAAGTCAGACATAAAATTCGAAGCGTCAGAGGTTATAGATCAGGCGTTTGAAAAAAAAGGGCGAAATTTGACTTTGTTGTGTGTGAGATCCGATTAAAATAAATTTAATCTTGTTCAACTTTATGCAATTTCTGTGAGGATATATTTGAAAGATCAGTACCAGAGATATCAAAAAAAAAAAGGACTTTGACATTGATTGGTTTGCTTTTCATTATATACAACATGTAGCATATAATCTCATTGTGAACTACTTGATCTTAATCTATTCCAAGAAAAAAGAAGCAATATTTGACTTGTTGTCTGTGGGATTTGGTTAATGTCACCCTCACATCCCAAAGTTTAGGTTTAGCATTAACTGAACATCTGATGGTAGTTGGGTGCTAAGGCTTTCGGTTGTCATTTTTGTTGATAAGATAACACCAATACTGAATAAAAAAGGTTTATGATTAAAAGACTAAATACATGTCATTCAATTAAGATTTTTTGGGATTTTAGCTAATATTTTTGAAATTGCACTTGAAAATCTATAAATAAATTTTTATTGCTCACATGAAAGGAAGCTCATATTACAGAGTTTAAAGGCATAAATCATGTTAAATCTATATATAACGATTGGCATTGGTATCCACCAGCAACACACATCATTATTCGATCATTTACATTGATATGATTGACATTGATATCCACCAGCAACACACATCATTATTCGATCATTTATTGTTCAATCATCATCGCTCAACTGTCGTCACTCATCTACAATTGCTCAATCGTTGTTATTAACTATTGTCTCCGCATTTCAATATTATTGAATGCTCTTAAACGGATCAAAATTGTGTTTCATGCTTTCTAATCTTGTGTTCTTTAATTAAAGTTAATAACGAACTTATGTAATTTCACTTAATTAATGAGTGATTTTTCCTTCCCTTGTGTTTAGTTAATTGACAAAGGGATTTGGTATTTTAAAAAAAAATTTGATTGCATAAAAAATTTAAAGGTCTTTTTTATGAAAAATTTAATTAAAAGAATTGTCATTGTTTATGTTCTAATTTGCTCTATGAGGATAGCTTTAGCGTGGCTTTTAAAAATCTAATTATGTATTTGATTTAAATTTCTCTAATTAAAATTTCTATAAAGAATAAAATATTCATTTTAAAGAATAAAGATTCAATTTTAAAAATTATTATGTTCATATATATAATCATTTAGTGATGTATGTAATTTTTTTAAATAAAAAGGAAGATTTACATACAAATCACTCAATTTTTAGGTATTTACATGTTTAACATTTAAATTTAAATTTTTATATATAAATTATTCTACCTATGCATGAAAAATTATATTTTTATCTTTTTAAAATTAAAATGATGTTATTTATATCTTGATGAAAAATATGACTGATATAAATGTAAAAAATAAAATTCTTTTATTAGATATGTAAATACATGAAGGATTGAGTAGTATGTGCGTAAATGGTTATATATAGATATATAAAATTATATGAGTTACATCACGTGCGATGAACATAATAATGATTTGATGGGATATGTATCAGATACCAGACAGTTTTTTTTTTTTTTTTAATGTTTTTTATTGACTTTTATGGCTGTGACCACGAAAAAAATTCATAATTCTTGACGGTAAAATAATAATACATAATAATTATACATCAATAGCTAAAGACTTTAACATTTTAATATATATA